TTTGTTTTTCGGGACAGGGTTTCTCTGTAGCCTTGGCTGTACTGGAATTCACTCTGTAGACAAGGCTGGCCTCCAACTCACAGAGACCTGCCTGCCTCTGCCTCCCAAGGGCTGGCACTAAAGGCCTGTGCCACTACCACCTAGCCAACTGTTTTCATTTTTTGTTTTGTTTTGTTTTATAGAGATACTCTTACTGGCACTTACACTCTCTTTCTGCTCTCTCATTTCCCTCTCTTTCCTGCTGTTCCCCTGGGGCAGACAGGACTTTTCCTGTCTCATTCTTCTGTCCTCTGTCTCTGGGTCTCTACCTCTTCCCCCCTTCTCTTTCTAATAAAACTTCCCACTTAAAAAAAAAGAGAGAGAGATTCTTACTATTTAGCCGTGCCTCTGCCTCCCAAGGGCTGGCATTAAAGGTGTAAGCTATCACACCTAGCTCTAGTTTTTAATTTTTAAGACATTTTAATTCATTTTACTTAGTGTAGCATGTGTGTGTCCTCGCAAAGATGTGCACAGGCCCCCACTAAGCATGTGGTCAGAGTACAACTTTGTGGAGTTTCATCTTTATGTGAGTTGTCAGGCTTCTGCATTTTTATCCACTGAGCCACCTTGTCAATTCCAAAGTGTTTAAGAGAGACAGCTTTCCAATTGGTATAATGGGAATGATAAATAACACCTCTATTGTATGTATCTCCAACACTGAAAAACAAATTACAAGTCCAAAGTAATTCATCAAATAAAGGTAGCTGGGGAATGTAGTTGGATTTTTCTTTGGGCCTCCAACCCACAAATAACAGCAGAGACTTATTATTAATTATGAAAGCTCCACCTTTAATTTAGGCTTGTCCCCAACTAGCTCTTATAACTTAAATTAACCTATTTATACTAATCTGTGTTCTATCACATGGCATTTTCTCTCCATGTCTCCTGACATCTGCTGTGTGCCTGGATTCCTCCTCCTCTTTCTTTGCTTGGCAGTCCCGCCTATACCTCCTGCCTACTGGCTGGCTGTTCAGCTTTTTATTAAACCAATGAGGAAGTACCTTGGTAAAGGCACATCTTCACACTGTGCAAAAAGAAAGCTCAAGGTAGAATGTTGCTTAGCATGTGCATGGCTGAGTTCAGCTCAACCGCTAATTAGTTATCAATGCAGGGACAGTAAGGCTGCTGCAATATTGGAATGGGAAACACGATAACGTGGTCTGAAGTTTGAAATCCATCTTGAATCATCTTAAACCCATATTTTAAAATTTTTTAAGACTTATTTATTATGTATGCAGTGTTCTGTCTGAATGTATGCCTGCACAATCAAAGAGGGCACCAGATCTCATTATAGATGGTTGTGAGCCACCATGTGTGTACTGGGAATTGAACTCAGGACCTCTGGAAAAGCAAGGAGTGCTTTGAAGTTCTGAGCCGTCTCTCGAGCCTCATCAAGCCTAGATGTTTTTATGTTATCTTTTCCTGAGCTTGTGCAGCTGTCAGAGGAAAGAGCTTCCCAAGATCTTGAGAAATGACTCAGCAGTTAAGAGCACCTGAGTTCAATTCTGAGCACCACAGGGCAACTCACAACCATCTATAATGAGATCCAATGCCTCTTCTGGTGTGCAGACAAAAACACCCATATACATAAAACACATAAATATATTTTTCAAAAAAAAAAAGGTTCTTGAAGAAAGAATCAGGCCTGACAAGACAGACAACCTGAGCCAGGAAAAGCTAAGAGCATGGGTTCTGCAGACAGATTACCTAAGTTTGTGTTTGTGCCTTAGTCGTGTGACCCTGGACCAGTCACTTAAACCTTCTGCCCTGTCCTGGGCCTTCATCCTTACAGCAGGGATGGGGATACAGGTTGTGGGGGCCCCAGGAGTGAACCTCCCAGAGAACTTAGTGCAGTCAGTCCCTTGTCAGAAATGTTCTTACATCTGGTTTTGCTTCTTGTAAGGAGCCGTGTAAAGCCGGTTGAGTACAGCCAGATGTATAGTTACAGCTACAACCAGTATTACCAGCAGTACCAGAACTACTATGCCCAGTGGGGCTACGACCAGAACACAGGCAGCTACAGCTACAGCTACCCCCAGTACGGCTACACACAGAGCACCATGCAGGTAACCACATGAGGCAACTCTTGGGTCTCATACACCTGACAGGAACCATTGTTTTACCATTAGTGCAATTGGTCCTGGACTTGGGATTTAAAAAGGTGGGGACAACTAGAGTTACCCAGGATTTTCTCAGGCCTCTCTCCTCACCTACCCTCTCCTCTCTTGACAGACATATGAAGAGGTTGGGGATGATGCTCTGGAAGGTAAGAGTCCCTTCATGCTTTGGTTAGCTGTGGCAGGTGCCAGCTGTGGGGGGCCCTCAGTTAGATGCTGAGGAACACCAAGGACGTGTGTGTGCTTTGTGTGTGTGCTTTCTAATGGGCTTGGACACAACTCTGATTGAATGTTACAAAGAAACGATGCTGCTCCCAGGGAGCTCCTTACTTCCAAGCTGTGCCACTCTGTCCCACCCAGTGGCTCTGTTACAGTGATAGTGTTGTTTTTTGTTTGTTGTTTTGTTTTAGTTAATGTGCATTGGTGGGTGTTTTGCCTGCATATACATCTGTGTGAGGGTCCCAGAACCCCTGGAACTGGAGTTACAGTTGTAAGCTATCCTCTGTAACAGCAGCTGGTATCTTAACCAATGAGCTCTCTCTCCAACACCTACTCTGTATTTATTTGTTTACCAATTTGTAAGATTAATATTTTTTGCCAAAATTTTCTTCTATTTTTTTCTATCTTTTAGTACTAGGCATGGAACTCAGGCCCTCACAGTATGTTGGGCTCACCACTGGGCTACACCCACACCTATTAGAAATGACGTGTTTTCTGATTAAAGTAGTAAAATCGTGCTGGATCAGAGAAACCTTGACTCAAACAAAACAAAATAAATAAATAGAAATAAAATTCTAGCATTTGGGAGGTTGGCATTAGAGTTAAGGCCAGCCTCTGCAGTGGGTTTGAGGGCTAAAAACTAAGCACTGGCTTAGTTCAAGAAAAATCAGCGGGATTCAAATTTAAGGAAAAAACAAAAACTGAAGTGCACTAGAAATCTCCCTTACTCCACAGTAGCCTTTGTTTTGGTTTGATATCAGGCCAAGCTGGCCTTCACACAGATAGTTATGGATGACCTTGAACTCTTGTTCCTCCTGCCTTTGACCCCTAAGTGTTAGGGTTACACACCCAGCCACAACAGTTTTCTTAAATACTAGTTGAGTTTTTGGTTGGATTTTTTGTTTTGTTTGTTTTTGTTTCAAGACAGGGTTTCTCTGTAGCTTTGGAGCCTGTCCTGGCACAGGCTCCGTAGACCAGGCTGGTCTCAAACTCAAGAGATCCGCCTGCCTCTGCCTCCCAAATGGTGGGATTAAAGGCGTGTGGCACCAACGCCCGGCTTCCAGCTGAGTTTTTAAATGACAGAAGGTGACAGATGATTACTTTGAGTTCATGGCCAGGTTGGGTCATATAGTGGAATTTTGCATCAAAAGAAAGACCAGTATGATTTTATGGCGGTGGTGGCACACTGAGGATTTCAGTGATCTCCAGGCCCTGTCTCAAAAACCTGGGGCTTTTAAAGACTCAGATCAGGCTGAGTTGAAACTCCTGACCCATCTGCCTCCACCTCCCAAGGAATGGAGTTATAGGGATGCCACCACACCCTGAAAATGTATATATTTGTGATTTCTGAAAGACTGGATCTCTCATCAGACACTGGTTTTGTTTTTGTTTTTTTTTCCCGAGACAGGGTTTCTCTGTGGCTTTGGAGGTGTCCTGGAACTAGCTCTTGTACATCAGGCTGGTTTCGAACTCAGAGATCCACCTCCCAAGTGCTGGGACTAAAGTTGTGTGCCACCATCACCTGGCACTGGCTTAGTTCTTAAGGTGGCACTTAATGTCCCTGTTTTTCCAAACCCACATGTTAAAACTGAGCAGAACAGAAAATCTAAGAGTGCATTTAGAGACAGATGTGGCTTTGAAAACTGGAAAAAAAACAACTGCTGTCACATGCTCAGTCTGCTTTAGACATCCATTCTAAGATGTCTGGAGGCAGGAGCCTGAACCCTCCTTCCAGGTGGTCTTTTGCCTGCATGACTTTGTCCCTTGCCTTTTCCTCCAGACCCAGCACCACAGCTGGATGTGACTGAGGCCAACAAGGAGTTCATGGAACAGAGTGAAGAACTGTATGACGCTCTGATGGACTGTCACTGGCAGCCCCTGGATACTGTATCCTCAGAGATCCCTGCCATGTTGTAGCCAGGATGGAGTGTTATCAGGACATTTATTTTTCTTTATCTGTCAAGCTTTTAATCCTTCTTGAAAATGGTTTATAATATTTTAATAAATTGCTAGAGAAATTGTTCAGTGGTCAAGGGCACTTAAGTGTTCTGTAGGAGGACCCAAGTTCTTTGCCCAGCTCACAATTCAACCATCCTGCATGAAACTCAGGTGCAAAGGATACACATTCACTTTTGTGGCACTCACACAAACACAAGGGTTGGATGTTTCTGACCAGTCCGTCCAGAACAAATGTAAACTTGCAATCTCAACCATGCGGTGACAGTCAAAGGCTTTTCTCAAGATTCGGGAATATACATTCCACCATGCCTTAGCATCCTGAGAGTCTACATGCCATGTTTACAAGGAACAGCCTGAGATGTTGCCTTGCTACTTGAGACTTCTAAAAATTTAAAGCTGCTAGCCCAGGGCCATTCTGCCTACCTCCATCTCCTCTACCTATATAATCCTATTTTACACAATATGGTTAGGAGAGCATGGCACCCCAGCATTGGGTTGGGAAGGCCTAGGCACATCATTCAGCTGTGGTCTTCACAGCTCCCTCAGCCTGCTAGGGTACCCTTTCATACTGCAAACCAACTTGCCTTGATCACAGTGGCCTCGTAATGGACAAACTCTGACTTGGTATGTCATACATCACTAGATGCAAAGACTGGAGAGTAGAAAGACATTTCCCAAAACCTTTATTGACCCAATTACATTTCAAATCAAAGCATTTTTCAACCCAGGGTCCTCGGAGAGTTTCCTTTGTTGTCTGTCCTAGAATAAGCTCTGTAGAACAGACTGAACTTGAACTAAAGGTGTGCACCAAAAGTTGAAATGTATTAGCAAAAGCTCCGGCTTGCTTCCACATTGGTCTTGTCTTTTTCTGCAAAGGAAGTGTGATTCTGTGTTAGTTCTGGCCTCAGGCTTGATCCCCACCTCAAGCTTTTCCTAAGAGCTGGTCTCAGTCCCATATCCGCATTTCTCATCCATAGATGTCCACTCAGATTAGGTTTCATCCTGGACCAGTATCTGCGCTCCCTGTCTACCCCTCTTCACCAAACATCTTACTGGTTCAGGGGTAGCAGATGCTGTACTACTTAGGGGCAGGGCGCAATCCAGACTTTAACTTACACAACCAATCGCAGATCAAAAGTGTTGGGAACTTCACTGGTGACAAGGCTCTAAAAATAAACAAACCATTTCAGAAATCCAGGTGCTTAGTCAACAACACTACAAATGCCCAGAGACATCTTTAACTCCCTATCCCATTTTACCAAGACCCCAGACAGGCATGTATGAATCTGACCCAGTGCTCTATACCAGACGACATTGCTATAAGGCCAGTTTCAATGTGCTCTCCCTCCTTTACGACCACCAAGACCAGCATCAAGATCCGATGGGAAAGGGAACCGGAGGGTCAGGCAGTCTCAGACTGAAAGTTTACCTTAGTGAATTCAATGAGCACAGGCAGGCAGGCTGGCTTCTCAGACTTTTCCAAAAGCCTTGGGTGTAACCTGCAGGAGGAAAAAGCATTTTTGTGAATAGCCAGGGACACAACAGTGCCACAGGTACAGAGTCCCACCCAAGGCCCAAAATATATATAGGAAAGCCGAGTGGCAGCTGCAGGCACTGTGCTGGCCTGGGCTGTCAAAGTCTCTCCAGTTACTCTGGCATGCAGTTGGAGAGTCCATGACCACAACCAGCCATAGCCCTTGGGAACATGCTGTATATTTCTCACCAGGCAAGCTCAACTATCACCATACTCACCAGGCACCACTTTAGCAATGCAGTAGCCACATCTTCTGGTCTCCTTACCACCACCACCTCCATGGAGTCTTCATCTGGCACAGCTAAGAACACAATTATACACAAGAATCATACATTCCCTGCACGTGATCCTCAGTAACTGCCCGTGTTACAGGGAATGTGAGCCCAGGACATGGCTATTCACCCACACGTTCCACAGGTGAACATACTTGCAACTGCACTCGGATGTTCAGCAAACTACTCCCAAGTCCTGTTTTACTAACTCCACATTAAAAGACATTTTGTTGGCCTGTATAGCACATTTAAGATGATGTCAATGAAGGTCTCTAGATACATCTAAGAAATCTCAAGGTGGAGCTGTCTTTTCCCAAAATGTTGCAGATCAGTTACAGTAAACTGAACCACGACCGTCAAGGAAAACTTTCTCTGGGCCTCCTTTTTGACCACAGCAGCTATGCAGAAGCAGCTGTAGCTTCGATAAGGGCCTCAGGCAGCGATGGGGATTACAAGACCTTAATCCCACCAACCACCTGGTTTGTAGCAGAAAACGAAACGCTTGTCTACTAGAGACATCAAAAAAATAAAGCAATCCTGAGCAATCACTCGACTACCCCTGTAGTTCAATACATAAAAACCTTAAACATTGAGACAGGTTCTTGACTAATAGAGTCACAAAAGTTCTCAGTTAACTTGCCATAGATATTAAAATGGCCGCTTGTGCAGTCAGAAATCGAGCAAGCTCGGGAGGCAGAGCCAGGCCGATAGGCGTTCTAGGCCAGCCTGGTCTACAGTGAGAAACGCTGGCGGTGCACGTGAGGGGTAAAAAAAACATATTCCCGAAAAAGGCCTAATCTATGGTTGAGTTTAGGGATCACGTAGCACGGGCCAAAATCCAAGAACTAGACCAACACCTTGTATCTGCTAGAGTAAAATTCCGGGAACCCTTAGCGAGTTATTAGGCCAAGAGAGTCCCTCAAGTCGCTGTCACAGGGCCTTTTCCGTGGGCGACATCCCACAAGGTCATCGCACCCAAGCAGCCCGCTCTTGCGGCTCCCATACCCCACCTCTAAACCATGGTGCGCGTCACTCACCCGAGCAAGGGCGCGGTAAGCAGGCCGCCGACTATCTCCGCGCAGACGGCCACCGTGTAGGCCTCCACCGTCCCGACGGCGGCAGGTTGCGCATTCCGCAGCCTTTGGGGAAGCATCCGGAGAGTGCGGTCTCAGGGCAGGGGGCTGTGGAGGGGATGGGACGACGTAGACGGCAACTCTGCAAGGAGAATAGCACGCGGGTGCAGGCAGAAAGGCCGAGCCGGGGCCTGCAGCACGCTTATATACGCTCGCGCGGCCGCGCCTGCGCCCTCCGCCCGCTGCGCCTGCGCCCGCCTCTGGCCGCACGGTCCCTCTGGGAAATGTAGTCCCCGCGCACCACCTGATCCCGTTCTGAGCCGGCCCTGATCGAGGAGTATTGAGGCTTCCATCCCAGCCACAGCAAACTGGACTCACACCCGAGACCCGCTGCCGTCCCTGCGGCGAATCTTAGAAAGGATTCTCCACTCCGAGCGTCCTGGGATGCTGGAGGGAGTGGCGGGAAGAGTTAGCGCCCTGGCTTGCCAGAGTGGGTAGAGGGCTTCATGAGGGAGGCTATTTATTCATTCATTCATTTATTCATTTAGTTTTTCGAGACAGGGTTCCTCTGTGGCTTTGGAGCCTGTCCTGGAACTCGCTCCCTAGACCAGGCTGGTCTCGAACTCCCAGAGATCCTCCTGCCTCTGCCTCCCGAGTGCTGGGATTAAAGGCGTGCGCCACCACCGCTGCCTACCTTGTTTTTTAAGACAGGGTCTCTGACTGGCTCAGAGTTCGTCAAGTAGAGTAGGATAGTGCCCCAGATACCTTCCTGTCTCCTCCTCCCAGTACTAGGATGACAAGTTCTGGGGATGGAATTCAGGTCCTTAAGTTTGCGTGACAAGCACTTTATCAGCTAAGATACCACTCCAGCCCCTGTATGTCTTTCTCTGCCTTCCTCATGAGAATGGGAGCTCTCCAAGAACAAGAACGTTGCCTCTGTCCTCTCTGTGCTTGCTGTATGTGTGCTACAATATAAAAGATAGGATTGGGGCTGGAGAGATGACTCAGAGGTTAAGAGCACTGGCTGCTCTTCCAGAGGTCCTGAGTTCAATTCCCAGCAACTAACCACATGGTGGCTCACAACCATCTGTAATGAGATCTGGTGCTCTCTTCTGGCCTGCAGGCTTACACGCAGACAGAACACTGTATACAGGATAAATAAATAAATAAATAAATAAATAAATAAATAAATAAATAAATAAGAATGGGCCAGAAAGAGTTTGGCAGGCAAAGAAATGTCAGTGCAACTCTATAACCTGAGTTCAATGGCCAGAACCCACATAAAGTTATGTTGGACAACAACATAAAGTTGTTCGCAAAGTTGTCTACTGGCCTCTGTGTGGATGTCTTGGCAGGAACACACACTAATAATAATAATAAAAATAAAGTATTTTAAAAGATAGACAACACTTACTGGAAAAATCACCCAGTGATGATTGGAGGGATGAAACTTGTCTGTGATTGCATAACCAGTAAGTGGCCTTGAACCACAGCCCAAATCTCCCCAGTGGAAATGCGCAGAGTCTTAGCTGCTGTGGTATACAGTTCTGTCTGAGCCACCTCGTGGAAATTTGCTTTAGCAGATGAGGAAGCAGGGCACAGGGAAGGGAAATGGCTAGCCCTTTGGGTAACACAGCATTATATATGACATGGGTCAGCTGACGTGCACTCTGGTGCCAGGTACAATCAGAGGCAGGCACATGACCCCAGCCCTAGCGGGAGTCTCTGAAACAAGGAAGTTCAAAGAATCTGATGCTGACACTGCACACAGACCAGGAGGGCTGACCAGGGTGCTGTACAGCCTGTCTTTGGGAGACCTCATTTCCAGCTGTTTCATGGAACTTGCCTAGCCATGCTGACTAGGATTACTTAGAGGTGTAATATAAATGGCTTTTTTGTTTCTTTGTTTAGAATCAGTGAGAAGAGGGCCATCAAGATGACTTATTGGGTAATGGCACTTGCTGCCAAGCCTGAAGACCTGAGTTCAATCCCTGGGTGCCTACAATGTAGAAGGAGAGAACCAACTCCTTCAAGTTGTCCTCTGACCTCCATATGTGTCCTGGTGCATGAGCCCACACACACACACACACACACACACACACAAATAAGTAACCATAAGAAAAGGAAAAAGAGACTGGACGTTGGACACAGAGGCAGGCAGATGTTTGAGGCCAGCCTGGTCTACAAAGTGAGTTCCAGGACAGCTAGGGCTACACAGAGAAACGCTGTCTTGAAAAAGAATGAGAAGAACCCTGGGCTGTTCCCGATCAAAGATCTGTGTGTTAAGAAAATGAAATAATAAACAAAACTTCATCTTCAAAGCAAGTTCCAGGACAGTCAAGGCTCTTACACAGAGAAACCCTGACTCAACAAACCAAACTGAAACAAAACTTTAGGCTTGTATAGATTTGCCAGATGTTGACGTCTTCCTTCCTGAGTGACTTGAGCTTGTCATGTAACGTCTCCAAGATCAGTTTCTTCAACTATAAAAGTGGGCAGAATAACCACATACTCATAAGGCCGTGTGAGAAAGAAAACTGATCCAATGATGGTTTGCAACACGGAGGGCTTCCCTACCACCCCAATCCGCCTGCCTCTCCCTCCCGAGTTCTGGGATTAAAGGCGTGCACCGCCACTGCCAGGCTTCACCCCCAGTTTTCACAGCAAACTGGTAAGACTCAGAAGGATGATGGGAACTGAATAGAGAACAAACAAAGAGACTACAATTGCCTGGGACCAGTTACAACTCCAGCATTGATTCCTTAGGCTTCGGGAAGCCAGAATTAGATGCAGACATGTGACTTTACAGGAGCTTTTAATCTAAGTGGGACTCAAGACCTGGTTTTCTGACTTTTGTGTTGGGGCATCAAGAGATTTGTGAAGGTTGAGTCCCCACCACAGAAGCACTGTGACCCTCAAGTGACACTGTATGACCTGAGACAAGTCACACCTCTGAACTTTGGTCTCCCAAGCCCTAAAATAGACCACTAAAGCCAAATCTAAGTGATACCACCCAGAAACCATTTAGCCTCATGCTCGATTTTGTCTGCAAGACAGTTCTGTGCTCTAGGGTTACACTTTGTGTGTCTGGTCTCCTCTACTGGAGCACATGCAGCTGTGTCCGGGGCCGTGCTGTCCAGGCATAGCGGCTGTTGCTCATTTACTTTGACTCTTGAGCTGGTGAAGGCCCCAGGGAAGGCTAGTGAGACTCCAGGAAAGGGGAGCCTGGACAAGGAAATTGTCTGAACCAGGCACTTCCTATAGTGATGAGATGCCCTCCTGCCAACGTGCTAGGTGGTGATGGCACACACCTTTAGGCACGCAGAGGCAGGAGAATCTCTGTGAGTTTGAGGCCAGTCTGGTTTACAAAGTGAGTTCCAGGACAGCCAGAGCTACACAGAGAAAACCGGTCTCAAAAACAAATAAAAAGCATACACCAAAGTGTTATTTTGTTATGGGAGGGTGGGGTCGAGACAGGGTTTTTCTCTGCAACAGCCTTGGCTATATT